AAGTACACATTCTGTGGGGAGCTACTATGAACACCGTTAGCAGGTAAGACCAAAGATTAAGATAGGAATTCTTTTTTTCCATCTGTGCATTGCTTCTTTCTGTCCAGGTAACAACAGGGACAGGTGTCAAAGAAACTGCAGTCTTCAGGGTGATTTTGGGCACTCCTTGGTACTAAGAATGGAAAATGGCAATTGGGCACAAAAAGTGCCTGTTTGTTTCCCTAGCTGGGGGCTGGCTCTAGCTTTCTTGCCATAACACAGCAAGAAAACCCTACTAATGCAAGCAAGCTGATGTGTAGGAACTTAGATGTCAAACAGTGGGCAAAGATTCAAATGTTTATGCTGCAGCTAGTATTTTATAATTGGACCTTTTATTTCAAATCTGTAAAGCCCATTCCTCTCAAGAACACCCTACTTCTGTGTCTTCCCTCACATCACCATGCTGATCTCTTGGACCCCTCCTCCCTGTAAACATACACACAGAAAAACCAGACCTTCTTTTCCCCAGATCCCCATTTCAAAGAGAAGAGAAAGAAGAGAAGAGAAGAGAAGAGAAGAGAATATTTCAGTTGGAAGCGACCTACAGCGATCACCTAGTCCAACTGCCGGACCACTTCAGGGCTGACCAAGTTAAAGCATGATAAGGGCATTGTCCAAATGCCTCTTAATCACTGGTAGGCTTGGGACACTGACCACCTCTCTGGGAAGCCTGTTCCAGTGTTTGACCACCCTCTCAGTAAAGAAATGCTTCCTAATGTCCAGTCTAAACCTCCCCTGGTGCAGCTTTGAACCACTCCCACGCATCCTACCACTGGATACCATGGAGAAGAGACCAGCACCTCCCTCTCTACTTCCCCTCCTCAGGAACCTGCACTGAGCAAGAGAATCATAGAATCGTTTAGGCTGGAAAAGACCCTCAAGATCATCAAGTCTAACTGTTAACCTAGCATTGCCAAGGCCACCACTAAACCATGTCCTAAGCAGCACATCTACACGGCTTTTAAAT